CACGCTGTATCATCATAACAATACTGTCAAAAATGGTAAATGTTTAACAACGTAAAAAAGCGCCCGTGAAGCGCAAATATCTTGGTGAAAACTCAACGGATTCGGCGAGCACCAAACTCGCTGGAACCGTCTAGTCGAACTGAAAAGAACGATATAAGTTTCAGAATTTTTGTTGGTGTTTTAGCGGAGATATTAGCCGAAAACCATCGGAAGCGCTTCAACCATATTCAGCACGAATAAAATGTTTATTGTAATGTTAGATGTCCCTCTAGTGGACAGAACGTGTAACAACAACCACATGCTATAGTGGCATTGGCGATCCATAAGCCTGAGTAATGTCGTAAATATTAATAATAGGATGAATTTGAGCATTCAATATTCGAATATTATTCGAATATTAAATAAAATAAGGAATGGAATTCGAATAGTATTATAGAGGAAGATTGACAGCCCTACTGCACACTCTTATGGCGCTTTTCCATTACCAGTACCAGCACGACTCGACTCGACTCGCCTTGGCTCGCCTCGACTCGGCTCGCTTTTCGCTCCGTTTTCCATTGCAGAAAGTACCGCCACAAATAGTACCCGGTCGTCATAGCGACGCATTTCGTTCCTCGTTGCCCCATCAAGCTCTCGCTGGATCCTCTCTTCGGCAACCAAACAAAGGAATGTCTGCACCTCCTCGTTTGACCACGGCGTATTCTTCCGAGTTGCCATAATAATAGTAGTAAGTTTAGTAACTATCTCTGGCCAAACTATTTAAAAATGGCGGGGTTATTCTGGATACTCCATCTGGCGCGTGCAATGATGACGCAGATTCTCTGTGACCAATCAGCAGTCGGCATTGTTTTCACGTCACATTTTAGTATCGGCTTAGCTCGCCTCAGCTCGCTTAGAACCTCGCCGGAGGTGGTACGAAAAAAAGTACCCGAAAGCAGGTACAGGTACAACTTTTACACAGTGGAAAACCAAACAAAGGCGAGTCGAGTCGAGCCGAGCCGAGCCGAGGCGAGCTGGTACTGTGTAGTGGAAAAGCGCCATTACAGTCCAAAAGCTGTGGCGAATATTCGGCAGAGCAGAGGTGGACCTCTTCGCCTCAGAAGAAAACAACCACTGCCCAATATTTTTCTCAAAGAGCGAGGACGCGCTAGCCCAGACCTGGCCCAGCCGCCCGCTTTATGCATTCCCTCCGGTTTCTCTGCTACCACAGGTGCTTCAGAGAATCAGGGAAACACGCCACTCGGTGCTCCTCATAGCCCCCCGTTGGGAGGGTCAGACTTGGTTTCCGGAGCTTACTCAGCTGTCACAGACAGCCCGTGGCCAATTCCAATCAGAGCAGATCTCCTCTCCCAAGCTCGCGGCACGATCTGGCATTCCCACCCAGAGCGCTGGGCGCTACATGCGTGGGTGATCAACAACTACCCGTTGCTTTGCCAGAGGGAGTGTTAAACACGATCAGGCAGGCTAGAGCGGCTTCTACTAGAAGGCTCTATGCGTCTAAATGGTCTGTGCTCTCTAAATGGTGCACCGACAGAAACTTGGAACCACGGTCATGCGAGGTTCCTTCCTTGCTAGTTTTTTTCCAAGAGATGTTGGACAAGGGCAGGTCCCCGTCCACTCTCAAGGTGTATGTGGCAGCCGTCGCAGCGTTCGTTGAACCCCGGCGCGGCCAGTCACTGGGCAAAGATGGCTTGGTCATCCGCTTCCTCAGAGGAGCTAGAAGGATGAACCCCCCACGCCCCCCTTCGGTGCCGATTTGGGACCTTTCCATAGTTCTCGAAGCTATGAAAGCCCCCCCATTCGAACCACTAAACACCGTGGACCTCAAATACCTTTCGCTCAAAACAGTTTTTCTGCTCTCGCTCGCGTCAGTAAAACGTGTGGGAGACCTTCACGCGCTGTCCATTAGCGCTTCCTGTCTCGAGTTTGGGGCTAATGACTCCTTAGTCGTTCTCAAACCTAGACATGGTTATGTCCCAAAAGCGATTGCTACCCCGTTCGGGGCACAAGTTATTTCCCTATCGGCTCTGCCTGCATCCGATAGCGAATCTGACTCTAATCTCCTGTGTCCGGTCAGGGCCCTGAGATTATACATTACTCGCACTGCTCCGGTCAGTCGATCCGAGCAGCTTTTTTGTTTCGTTCGGTGGGCGCACCAAGGGGTTGGCCGCCTCGAAACAGACTCTATCCAGATGGATAGTTGATGCCATTGCAGCCGCATACGCATCAAAAGACCTGCCATGCCCTCTGGGCATCAGGGCTCACTCCACTCGAGGCATGGCCTCATCGTGGGCATGGTCCAGCAGAATTTCCATTCATGACATTTGTGTGGCAGCGGGATGGGCTTCCCCCTCCACCTTTGTCAGATTTTACAATCTGGAAGTTCCCGCCTTGCAGGCTAAACTACTAGCAGTCTAGTATGTTACAGCTCTTCTGGTTGAGCTGCTCTATAGGGAGTTATTCAAACAGACCAGTTTTCGCTCTGTCCCTCTCTATCATGTGCTTATGTACTACACAATCTCCGGCCCGCTCTGCTGGCCTTTGTCACAGGTACATATAATTATTCCCACTCATAAGGGTTCCCCGGGGTCTCCCCTGGTACTCATAGTGGATGCTTAGCACGCACGGCGTTGACCAGGTGTTCCCGTAGCGTAAGCTAGCTTACGCAATACGAGAGAACCTCTCGTAAGGGAACGAATCGGTTACCTAACGTAACCTAGGTTCTCTCTAGATGAGGGAACGAGTATTGCGTTCCTGGCCGTGCTTGTGCTACTAGCGTTCTCGCTTCATTCTATGAAAACCAGAGTTTACAGCCTAGGACGCCAAGTTATACTCTCTGACTACGCCCGTTTCGGCGGGCTCTGACGCAATGAGAGCAGGTCAGACTCTCATTGGCCGAGAGTTCATTCGCGTCTCCTCATAGGCTTAAGCAGTTCTCTGTGAGCGAACCAATGAGCTGCTAGCTAGCCCGCTCATGGTCTGCTGCAGCTGAACTGCGTTGACAATGGATACAAAATTATAGGATAATTTTTTGGCTTCAAATTCTCAGAAATGATGAATCTTTCCCGTAGCGTAAGCTAGCTTACGCAATACTCGTTCCCTCATCTAGAGAGAACCGAGGTTACGTTAGGTAACCGATTCGTTTTTCAAAGTGGGGAACTATATGACGACAAAGAGGATACAACACCACCCCCGCAGAAGAAGATCAAGGCCTACTTCAACACGGACGGTTTAGCCCCGCCCACCGATTCGCGCATTACACCAGAGACTATTTATATAGAGACATGCCACTTCCTCAATCCTCAATACAACTATAGGGAAAACCCGTAACGTCAAAGATGGCGGTTGTATGCATATGTCCCGCCCCTCCCGCTGGAAAGCCAATCGTCTGCTTTTAACAGTCAAGCCGGGAAACATTTAAGCCTATCGTCTGGTTCCACTGACGCATGCGCACAGTTGAGGTTTGCGACAACGGAGACGATTTGGCGACAGCGAGTTGTTTTGTGCCATAGTGTTGTGTGCAAGATCAGATGGAATCCACATGGAAGAGGGTGATAATAACAACGCGAAAACACCGGACTACCAAGGTAGTTGTGGCGAGCAGGCCGAGGACGAGGGACGTGAGAGAGCTGCGTGAGGCCGGTGGCGTGATTACTGATGAGCGGCACCTGCGCGACGCATCGGTCTCGTGTCTCTCACGGAGGAGCGGAGGCATAAAAGGTGGAGCGACGACATGGAGATCGAGAGAGGAACAGGCCTGATTTTATGTTGTGTTTTGTTTCTGTTTTGTGTGCCCAGCAGCTCGTCCGGGGCTGCAGGCATACTTCCATTTTTGGATTTGTTTATTTATTAAAATGGTTGAATGTTCGCCGGTTCCTGCCTCCTTCTTCCCATAACATCTGAACCTTGTTACAGTAGTTAAAGCATTTTATATCGACCACTAATATGTTACCTTACATTCTAAGTATGTGCTGTAGTAGAGCACGACACCGGCATTCTGGATAGAGACGTAAATGAAGTTGGTGTCGTGAACCCTTGCGCATGCGTAGTAAAAGTATAACCTGTGGGGGAAAAGGTGTTTTAAACCTTCTTTTGGGGCAAAGTCATCAAACTTTTTCAGGGATTTTTATCATATTTTACTGCTGTTTCTATACATGCAGTTTTTATGTCCCGATGACCAGTGAAAGTGCAGTTCTGAGTCTCTGCCCATTCATTTAGATAGGAGCCTGGTCTTGTTAGTCGGAAATAGCTGCCCGGAGGCGTTACCAAGATGGCGGCCGAGTGGCATGACTTGCCTAAAAGGACTTTGATTACACGCATAGCTCATTATAAATGCAAAACTGTTATCCACTCACAGCAGTGGGCGTTTACTTCCAAGTCTTCAATGCGAGACGCCCATAAAAACCGAGCGTTTTTGAGCTAGGCTCAAAACTAGGGTAGAAAATAGCCTATTATTTATTCATTTTGATGTTTTTGAAAGTAAAAATCTAGCGAACGTCATAAGTTGACCTAGACAACAATATAAACAATTTTAAAAAGCCAGTTCATGACCCCTTTAAAGTCACTCTATGTTTTGTATTTATTATTTATGAATATAAGCTATGATAACTACTTTTTTTACAGTTTTTATTTTTTATTTTTTTTATTTTCAGGGATGACATGTCTGCAGATTGAGGTCTTTGAGGAATGTCATGATAAAATTGGCTTAAGAGCAGACCTTATTTACAAATAGTATCGTTAAATATTGTAATATCAGTCCAAACAAAATCCACGTGAAAATAGATCATCTAATAAAAAAAAAAAGACGCCTTAACCTTTAGGTTTCGTGAATGAAATGTTAATAAACAGAAGCTCTTCCGGTCTGTGACAGTGGCTGTAGGTGTGGTGTGGGACAGAGGGAAGCGAAGAGACTCGCTTCCGATTGGTATTTGTGTTTCAGTGGGAGTGTTTTGTCTTTTTCACAGCCCTCCTGTGGACACACACATTCACAAGTGCACCTCAGATGACGACGCATTGGATGTTATAATAAACTTCAGGTGAGGAGGGGAATTCTAATGGGTAAAACCATTCAACTAGCATATTCCCAAGATCGCAGTAAATATAATACATCATATTATACATGTAGTATAATCAAACGTGTTCATAGTATAAGTTTGAATAATTGCAGCCGTTGTTTCCTGCTTCATCGTAAGCGACTCTGACGCTAAGGTTCATATTTGTCTGCTCGTATGTTGTTTTACCTGTTATGTCGCGTTTGTTAATGTATCGTTTCAGAGAGACGTCAAGACATTAAGTCACTATAAATTGTGATTTAGATTTTGTTGTTGTTGCGAACAAGGTGTTGGATCTGCTCACAAACATCACGTGAAATGAACCGAAAACAAAACTAGATTCTACCTGAATTTGGACAGAAAGTGGATTTATTTCCTTGTTTGATCTAACGTTACAGCTTTAAATAACCATTAAAAACTCTTTACTTAATTGTGCCTATATATAGTCTGTACAAAATTCCCTGCCGCGCGCATGCGCGAGGCGAACTTGTTCAGACTTGTTCTGATGTATGCGCAAAAAGTTTCATCCAGCAGCATCCAGCGCACGGAGTTTTTCTGGCATTGTTTCGTTCCTAAAAGTCTTTCTTCTTTGTGTGGTATTGCTGTGCGTTCATAACTACGTAAGTAAAGATATTTAATGTCATTGTAGATGGTTTTTAGAGAGTGTCAGAGCGGGATTCAGTTTATTTTACCTCAGAAATATTATTGTGTCAATATACATACAATCAGGCGCAGTGCTCGCGCGTATTCAGTGAGTCATCATGTTATATTTGTTAACGATGTTTATTCATATGGGAAAGGGAGTTGCTTGTCATGTTGATTCAAATATTCGTCTTATCGGCATATTAATAATGGTACAAAGAGCGCACGGGAGTGCTAGAGCAGCGCACACACTTTGTAATCTGACACCTCTTGTTAGCTGCAGCGGTCTGCATTTAGAGTATATATATTTCAATACGGTTTACTTTAACCTAATACAACTTTAACCTCTCCATGTATATGTATACAGGCACTATTTGTGTATATTCTGTCATATCATGTTATCATTTATATTTATCATCCTTATTTTGTTCTCTCACAGAGACCACTGTTATATGTATATCCACGCAAACCTGTCTACGACTTGCACTTTTGTGGCTTAATAAATATTGAGAATGGACAAGTTCACTCTGGAGTAGCTGCAGTTCTTTCTAACCGAAGAATTAGGCCAGTTGAGTTCCAACCATCCCACTGCGCGCAGAATATCCCACAAAATTGGTCCTTCGAGCCGGATCGGGACATCAGCTGCGCTATGGCTACATCCAGAGATTACTATGAGGGAGAACAAGTGCCAGATCCTCGTCCAAGTCGTACCCGGCGGGTGCCCACCTACTTGGAGGATTATGTGCTTGATTATCCACTTCCACGTCATGTTCATTCTTCATCAGCAGAGGTCGCTGCAGGAATATCCTATACAAGCCAGGGCACTCCTGCTCACAGGGACAGAGACTTTGAAAATGTAAAGCTTCATCACTTAGAGGCCCGCTGGAAAGATTTAAGCAGTGAGATGAGAGAGCTTCAAATCAGAATGGACAGTGCTAGACAGGTATCTTTTGAATCTAGATCTCCTGCTTACGGACAATATGAGAGTCTTCCTCACATTGAACTAAGTAACACTGGATTAGAACCCTCTATGACTGTAGCATCGTCTCCACAATATGAGGAAACACTTTACCACGAGCCCTCTATGCAGCTGCAGTCGCAACCGAGCCTGCATCCACCTAATATAGCTCGTGTATCTTCCCTGCCTGGGCCACAGCCTCAGAGGCCATGTGCGGAACTCCGACGATCAGACTCATGGCCCCCCACGGCTGCTCAGCCTGTTCAGCCTGCCTATTCTCAGTTACAGCCACAGCATCAGCCGACTCCAGTTCACCCTGCACCAGCCCGCATACAGCCACCGCATCAATCAGCTGTTGTACAGCCTAAGCATTTTTATGTGCAACCCCAACGTCAGCCAGTTGCTATACCAGCTGCGCCAGCCTCACTGCGGTCACAGTACCAGCATATAGGGCCAGCTCCAGTTCCTCCTGTACCAGCGCAAGCAGCGATGCATCCTCAACGCCCTTATCAACCACTGCCTCTGCCTCCACCTCCTTGGCCTGGACCACAACCACAGTATTATTATCCTGTCAATCCTGTGGCACCGGGACTTATGGAAATGGCCATTGCCTCCTCCTATGGCATACCCAAACCAAAACTGGCAGTCTTCTCTTCTGGGAAAGAGAGTGATTTCCTTATGCTCAAGAAAGGACTGGACAGCATCCTTGGTCCACACAGGCATCTAACAGAGGACTATAAATATCAAGTGCTTTTGGATCATCTACCTCTACCCGCTGCTTATCAGGTAGCTAAGAGATATGTTAACAGCCCATTTCCTTACACCAGTGCCATGCAGGCTCTTGAACAGAGATACGGTCAACCAAGACAGTTAATTCAGAGCGAGTTGAGAGCTATCCTCAATGCACCAGCTATTCGACCAGGTGATGCGCAGGGGTTTGAGGACTTTGCGGCAGCTGTTAACACACTGGTGGGCATGTTGAACACAATGGATGGACCCTCTAGATACGAACTGCAGTGTGGCTCACACGTTGACACTCTACTGACCAAACTGCCTGTCAGCTATAGAGACTCATTCATAGAGTACTGTCTCAACAAGCATATAATTGTGAGCGGCAGTTCCAGGACTTACACTCTGCCTGAATTTGCTGAGTGGCTGGAAAGGAAGGCCCAGGCCATTCAAATATCTAGGCGTGTAACAGGGCCAGCGCATACAGAGCCCTATCGGCGAGAGCAGAAACCTCTTTCTTATCCCAAAGCCAAGGCAGCCACAATTCTCACAGGCAGTGAACAACATAAAACCATCAATTTGCCCTCCAGCTCCCTCACAGACACTAAAATGGCAACTACAGCTAAAAAGCGGGATCGCTTTAAGCCCTTTTGTCCCTACTGCAACAACCATGAGCATTATCTCAATGCTTGTGCAGCCTTTTGCAAGTTGAGCCACACACAAAGAGGAAGCTGGATTAAAGAGCAAAATAAATGCTGGAGATGTGGACGAGGTCACAAACAGGACAGCTGCACGCTCAAGAAAACTTGCTCTACCTGTGGAGGACTCCACCTGCCTGTTCTGCATGAAGTTGCCGTGGCTGCGGAAAACCAGAGCATACTCACAGTGAGCACAACCACTTCTCAAGTTTACTTGGATCAGGCCAGTCATTCAGGCAGAGTGATGTTAAAAGTTGTCCCAGTAAGACTTCGCAGTGGTAAAAGGTTCATGGATACACATGCTGTGTTAGATGATGGTTCGGAAAGAACAATTATCCTGCCAGCAGCAGTCAAACAACTGGGCTTGAAAGGATCAGAAGAAACTTTGACTCTCAGAACAATAAGACAAGATCTCGTTCAGCTAAGAGGAAATGCAGTCTCCTTTGAAGTATCTGCGATATCACACCCAAATGTGAAACATCAAATCCAAAGGGCATTTACAGCTGAAGAGCTCAATCTGGCTGAACAGTCTTGTCCCGTGAACTCACTGAAAGGAAGATATGGTCACTTAAGGGACATCCCGTTGAAAGGTTTCACTAAAGTGCAGCCTTTGCTACTCATAGGATCAGATTTCCCACAGCTGATCACACCAAACTGCCCAATCCGTATGGGACCGCTTGGTAGCCCTGTAGCAGTACACACTCTTCTTGGATGGACAGTTCAAGGGCCAACAACCTTTCTCCAGCAACCCTCAAATGTAAGCTCATGCCTTCACACCACATTCCTTCCTCCCATGCAAGAGTTACGTCAACATGTTGAGCGGTTGTGGCAGCTTGACCTACTGCCACAGAGAAACGAGAAAGAAGTAGTCCGTTCCAGACAAGACAAAGCTGCACTTGCAATGTTGGAGGAGAAAACGGTGCATGTTACAGTTGATGGTGCAACCCGCTATGCTACCCCATTACTTCATAAGCGAGACACGGCTAAACTCCAAGCACCACCAAATGCTGTCATGGCTCTTTTAAGAGCTACAGAACGTCGCCTTGTTAATAATCCTGATCTGGCGAACGTGTATGACAACGAGATACACAAGCTTGAGCAGGCAGGTTATGCAGAGCGAATAACCAACCCAGAAGGTGTCAATTCCGGTAATTCATGGTACGTTCCTCACCACATTGTGCTGCACAATGACAAAGCCCGGGTAGTCTTCAATTGCTCTTACACCTACAATCAAATGAGCCTAAATGACAATCTACTCCCTGGTCCCACTCTTGGTCCACCACTGCTGGGAGTCCTGCTCAGGTTCAGAGAGTATACCGTTGCGATAAGTGGAGACATACGAGCCATGTTTCACCAGATCAGACTGTTACCTGAAGACCAGCCATTGCTCCGCTTTCTCTGGAGAGACATGGAAAGAGATCGTAACCCAGACATCTATGAATGGCGAGTGTTACCATTTGGGACCACCTGTAGTCCATGCTGTGCTACTTATGCCCTCCAGAGACATGTCAGAGACAACAGTGAGGGCAATGAAGATGTAGTGGAGTCTGTCCAGCAGTCTTTCTATGTGGACAATTGTTTACAATCTCTTCAGTCTCAGCATCAGGCTAAAAAACTCATTGATAAAATGAGAGCATTATTAGCATCTGGTGGTTTTGACATAAGGCAGTGGGCTAGCAATGTTCCCAATGTGATTGCACATCTACCCGCTGAAGCCAAATCAGTAGGCTGCGAGCGGTGGCTTTCGGCAGACAAAACTGATCCACAAGAGTCGACCCTCGGCCTAGTGTGGCATTGTTCCCAGGACACTTTAGGTTATAAACACAGACCTGTGTCAACAAGTGGAGAAACCTCAATGAGAAATGTCTATCGCATCCTGGCAAGCCAGTATGACCCATTAGGTTACATCATCCCGTTCACCACAAGGGCCAAAATCATGGTGCAATCACTATGGAAGAGAGTTGGAGGTTGGGATGAACCTCTGCCAGCTGACCTTTTCTCAGAATGGCATGCTTGGGAAGAAGAGCTTCCTAACCTACAGAGAATAACACTACCTAGGTGTTACACACCAGCATGCAACAACACCTCCTCCACTATCGATATGCATGTCTTCTGTGATGCCTCGGAGAAGGCATATGGCTCTGTAGCCTATTTACGGGTAGAAACGGGTAATGACATTCAAATCGCATTCATCATGGCGAGGTCACGAGTGGCACCCAAGAAGCAACTCTCCATTCCACGCCTTGAACTCTGTGCAGCATTGTCTGGAGCTCAGCTAGCCAAAACACTGAACACAGAACTTACACTTAATCTCAGACAGACAATCATGTGGTCCGATTCAACAACCGTATTACACTGGATACAGTCTGAGTCATGCAACTACAAAGTGTTTGTGGGCACGCGAATCGCAGAGATTCAAGACCTCATTGGATATGAGAACTGGAAATACGTGGACTCGAATAACAACCCTGCCGATGATATAACCCGGGGTAAGACCCTCATAGATCTGTCCCAAACCTGCAGATGGAAGCAAGGTCCAGAATTTCTGCACCAATCTCCAGACCACTGGCCAATCCACCCGTCAGTGTCAGTAGAAGATTCAGAAGAACTCCGTAAATCCACATTCTGCGGTAATGTCACAATCAGTCATGCCTCTTTACCTGATATAGATAACTGCGAATCATGGGACGATCTCATCACGACCACATATCAGTCTCTGCATGGTTCGGCAGCACCCCCTATGTCTGCCACAGAACGCATAGAGACTGAAACTGCTGTACTCAGACGTGCACAGACTGAAAGTTTTCCTAAGGAAGTGCATGCCCTTAAATCCAATAAATCGGTGCATTCAAACAGTCGATTATACTCCCTTGCTCCAACTTTGGATCCTCATCTTAATCTGATACGAGTGGGTGGTAGATTACGCAAAGCAGCAACACTGCCAGAGGATGCACTTCATCCTATTGTGTTGGCCCCAGAACACCCCATAACAAAACTGCTAATCCAAGACTTTGATAACCGCCTGATGCACGCCGGTTCAGAAAGAGTCTTCGCCGAGCTAAGACGAACCTATTGGGTTCTCAGAGGCCGCCAGGTGGTAAAAAAGTACCAGAGACAATGCGCTGAGTGTCGCAAATGGCGTGGCAAGCCCATTGTACCTAAAATGGCTGACCTGCCTGCCTCCCGTCTGAGAATTAGTCAACCTCCATTCTGGTCCACGGGAGTTGATTGTTTTGGTCCCTATGTAATCAAAATTGGCAGACGACAAGAAAAGAGATGGGGCATAATATTTAAATGTCTCACTACAAGATGCGTACATCTCGACTTGTTATGCAGCATGGATGCAGATTCATTTTTACTAGCCCTCAGACGTTTCATATCAAGGAGAGGAAAGCCCTTTGAGATCATCTGCGACAGAGGCACCAACTTCAGGGGGGGAGAGCGTGAGCTCTCTGAAGCCTTTACTGAAATGGAACCATCACTCCAAGAGCAACTAGCCAAACAAAAAATTTCCTTCCAATTCAACCCACCTCACGCACCTCACTTCGGGGGAGTATGGGAGAGGGAAATTAAATCAGTCAAAGCTGCCCTCCAAGTTGTCCTGAAAGATCACACCGTCTCGGAGGAAGTCCTTACCACAGTATTGATCGAAGTGGAAGGCATCGTAAATTCAAAACCCCTGGGGTACGTATCATCTGATATAGCAGATCCTGACCCTATTACCCCCAATTTGCTGCTCATGGGGCGGCGGGACGCCTCCCTACCTCAGGCTGTGTATGGACCCAGCAATCTACTTGGACGGCGCCGCTACAGACACAGCCAAGTGATCGCCGATCACTTCTGGACCCAGTTCCTCAGAGACTACCTACCCAGTCTTCAGCTTCGACAGAAGTGGCAGAACATCACACCAAACCTAGCAGTCGGTCAGGTTGTATTGATTGCGGACTTTCAACTTCCCAGAGCAAAATGGCCTGTCGGTAGGGTGACCCGAGTCCTACCAAGCGACGACGGTGCAATAAGAGCCGTCGAAGTTGACATCAAGGGCAATACATATGTCCGCCCTGTTGCTAAACTCATTGTGTTACCTGAAATGCCTAAAGTTTAGTTCTTAGCACCAGTAGTTAATTTCGGACATTTTGTGGATTTACAAATTTCCTGTGTAAATTTGTGGGGCGGCTGTACAAAATTCCCTGCCGCGCGCATGCGCGAGGCGAACTTGTTCAGACTTGTTCTGATGTATGCGCAAAAAGTTTCATCCAGCAGCATCCAGCGCACGGAGTTTTTCTGGCATTGTTTCGTTCCTAAAAGTCTTTCTTCTTTGTGTGGTATTGCTGTGCGTTCATAACTACGTAAGTAAAGATATTTAATGTCATTGTAGATGGTTTTTAGAGAGTGTCAGAGCGGGATTCAGTTTATTTTACCTCAGAAATATTATTGTGTCAATATACATACAATCAGGCGCAGTGCTCGCGCGTATTCAGTGAGTCATCATGTTATATTTGTTAACGATGTTTATTCATATGGGAAAGGGAGTTGCTTGTCATGTTGATTCAAATATTCGTCTTATCGGCATATTAATAATGGTACAAAGAGCGCACGGGAGTGCTAGAGCAGCGCACACACTTTGTAATCTGACACCTCTTGTTAGCTGCAGCGGTCTGCATTTAGAGTATATATATTTCAATACGGTTTACTTTAACCTAATACAACTTTAACCTCTCCATGTATATGTATACAGGCACTATTTGTGTATATTCTGTCATATCATGTTATCATTTATATTTATCATCCTTATTTTGTTCTCTCACAGAGACCACTGTTATATGTATATCCACGCAAACCTGTCTACGACTTGCACTTTTGTGGCTTAATAAATATTGAGAATGGACAAGTTCACTCTGGAGTAGCTGCAGTTCTTTCTAACCGAAGAATTAGGCCAGTTGAGTTCCAACCATCCCACTGCGCGCAGAATATCCCACATAGTCATTTTAAAAACTACGAAATCTCTTTTAAAAAGAGCCTGCCACATTGATCAGTTTTAGCCAGCCCCATTGCTATTGATTGTGCGGAAAAGTACGAAAAAACGAACCATAGTTTTATTATAATAAAAGTGTAGAAAGCTTGTTTTATTGGTGGATTAATTATCATTTGTATAACCACAGTTTTAATACAAAAACCATGGTTAAACTAGTATGGTTAGTGTAGCAAAACCATGTTTAATTTGTGGTTACCATAGTTCACCTATAATAACCATTTGGTTTCATTTGCAGTGAAACCATGGTTAATTTTCGTAAGGGATGGATTGCCATGTTTACTGCGTTTTACAACTAAACATTTGTGACAAGCTTGTCTGTCTTTCTCCAGAGCAGAAATGAGTGATCCTCTCCTTAACCCACTGACCGTCATATGTGCAGGATCCTGCTTTGCCTTCTCTGGACTGTTTTATAAACTCTACTCTGAAAAAAGACACGAAATACAGAAGCTGAAGGTATTTGATTTCCCCATCACTGCTTGCTAAGTAACAGAACTATTAAACACAGTTGTAGTGAAGCCGCTTGTAGATGCAAACCCAGAAGCCCTGATTCATAGAGTATCATCTTTGTGTCTTTGATGAAGACACTTATTCTCAGTTTACTCTTTATATAAACATTTACTGCAAGTCACTTTAGCTGAAAGTGGAACAGAATAAGTCAGCTAAATTGTAATATTTTTTATAAATGCTTACTCGTCCAAACATTGGCCTGTTTCCTCCCCTTTGCAGGAGATCCCAAACTTTCAAGCAGACCATCACCTGCTCAGGATTCTGAACGCATCGTCCAACAAGAGACTTAATTATGTTGCCGTAGAAGGTAGATAAAATACTAAACATCACCTCATACTTTGAAAAGTCTTAGTTTATGCATCTTTCTTTTGCCTCCATTGCAGGACTGGTGCAGGCCATCGGAGAGCCCATTTCCAGCAGGAACGTGCCGCGGTGTTACGGGGTCGTTCAGAAGATAACCGTGCAGGAGCACTGGAAATACTGGAACTCTGTTCTCAAGTCATGGTAAATGCTCCACTGCCAACCATTTAGCTTGTTTGAAGGATTAGTTCACTTCAGAATTGCAATTTCCTGATAGTTTACTCTCCCCCGCGTCATTCAAGATGTTTATGTCTTTCTTTCTTCAGTCGAAAAGAAATGAGGAAAACATTCCAGGATTTTTCTCCAGATAGTGACTTCAATGGGGCCCAACGGGTTGAAGGTCCAAATGTGAGTTTCAGTGCAGCTTCAAAGTCTCGACACGATTCTTATCTAGCCAAACCATTGGCCATTTTCTTAAAAAAATGAACATTTATATCATTTTTAACTTCAAATGCTCATTTTGCACGAGCTGCGATGCGCCACGCATTACGTATAATCACAATGAAAGGTCACGCTTGATGTAGGTGGAAGTACCGACCTAGTGTTTACAAAGCATACGTGGAAAGACTAAGTTAAACGCCATTAACAAAATAAATAAATAAAAGGTAAAACAACGATGTCGGACGATTTTAAAGTTGGAGGAGAAAATGAGATGTTTTTCGCCCTACTCTACATCTTCCGCCTACGTCACGTTACCGTCTGACCTTTAAACGTGATTACGTAATGCGGGAAGTCCGTGCAAGATGAGCATTTGTGGTTAAAAAGTATATAAATGTTTATTTTTTAGAAAATGAGCGATGGTTTCACTAGATGAGACTCTTATTCCTCGGCTGGGATCGTGTCGAGACTTTGAAGCTGCCCTGAAACTGTAATTTGGACTGGTTGGACCCCATTGAGTAGTCACTATTTGGAGACAAATCCTGGAATGTTTTCCTCAAAAACCTTCATTTCTTTTCGACTGAGGGAAGAAAGACAAACATCTTGGATGACGTGGGGGTGAGTAAGTCAGGAAATTTTAATTCTGAAGTGAACTAATCCTTTAAGCAATTGGATATGAGAAGCCAAGCTGTGTTACGAGTTGAAGCAAGGCTATAATAGCCTGGGAAAACCCAGACAACTTCCGGCAAATTTAGAATTGCTCTGAAAGTTAGTCTGGCAAAGAGCTCATTCAAGCCCATTTCCAATCCGTCGAAATCGCGGCACCAATCAGAAACTTTGGGGCGGGCTTTACACGATGACGACAGCGCTGGGATTTTGAAGCAGATTTTGTAGCCTACATTACAATAATGGATGCCGCCGTCGAACATCACTCGTCCGAATCAGCTATCGCGTCTGTTTTAAGCGATTTGAACGTTTCCTTTTCGTTAAAAACCGAGCAAAGAACAACACTCGCCGCTCTGCATACGTCATCTCCTTCATCGCTCTGATTGGTTTAGGTCTATCTGCGACGTCCGTTGGTGACGCACCTCTGGAAATGATTTGTCTATGACGCTTTGCCAGACCATAACTCAGTTACAACTGAGAATGATCTGGTTTTAACCAGGCTAAGGCTATAAGCACGTTATAAAGTGACTTCTCAGTAAATAGCAGATATAGTCCCTGGCACATACACGAGTCAACCTTTCATCAAAGTTATACATGAATTTTGAAACTTTTTTGATCCACTTCAAATGTTGACTACTGTATTGACTACTCTTCATAATGTAACTAAGGCCCTTGCACACTTTTTCGCATTCGTCATTCGGTGTCTCTGAATTGTCAAAACACCATTCAACCTGCGGATGCGAAAAACACAGAAAATCAAACCCGATCTGGATTTTATTTTATGACGGATGAAAGTTTCGGAGGCAGTGTGTAAGCGTAATCCGACGTGAGGTCGGATTTATTTTTTAACGTGCAAAAATTTCGGACTAGGTGTGCGAGGACCTTTACTCGGTGTAGCTGAAACACAGTATTGCTCCATTATCTTCTGCACAGGGTCTCCAAAACAGTGAACAAGAAGCAGACCACCAACACGGTGCCCTTCTGCCTGATCCAGCCCGGGTCCTACACCAGTGAGGTTTCGGTGCGCGTGGACTCGCCTCTGGAGGCGTCCGGTGATTACCTGGAGCAGGTGCACAAGCGCCTCAGGACTGCCAAAGAGGGGCTGGTGGACGTCGTCCTGCAGGAACTGAGTGGAGAGAAGCCTGTGGCCCAAGAGGAGCGCGAGGAGCTGCTGCGTGTGGGGGCGTGCCTCACGGGATTCGGGGAGCTCGTGCTGGAGCAGGATAAGATCATGAGGTTGCAGACACCCAGAGATGGACGCAGCTTTGTCCTGATCCCCGGAGACCACAGGAGCTTCATGCAGAGACACGAGAACAGCGCTAGCATGTGGAAAGGGCTCACGGCTCTGTTTGGAATAACGGGCTCTACGTTATTAGCGGGGTTTATCCATAGCAGTCTTAAGGATAAAAAGAACTAGCGCACTGCGTTATGCAACAGTCTTTGATTTTATTTCAGAGTTTTGCAAGTGAAAATATTTTTTCAAGCCTAGTACACTCCAAGTGATTCAAACTCTCCTTAAATCAGCGTTTCTCTTTTTATATGAATCTAATATTTCAGATGCCTTGTGTTTGACTGTGTCACCAATATTAAAAGCTATTCACAACTCACGGGTTATCACGTTGACTTTAATCACTAGAATTCTGTTGTGGACAATGAGGTCCAATGAGTTTGTTCTTAAAAATACCTTCCGAAGAAGGAGGAAATGGACGAGGGTAAATGACAGTGTGTACATTTTCACTTTTGGCAGCAAAACAAGTCATCACATGGAGAAGATACCATGGCGTGTAGGTTTGTAAAGTGTGCGAGTCACAGTCGCGATGGTTTACGTTCATTCATCTTCCTCTGAAGACTCCTCGGCCTCCTCTAGCCACTGAATGAACTTCAAGAGCTGTGGAGAGACGAGACAAAGTTAACACAGTCCTCTTTCACACAGAGACTCCAGTCAATTACCAGAAACACTGATCTTGATCATTCACTTTCCCATGCTCTGTGCTTTCATTCACACGTCATTGATAGTTTCATGAAGAGGTAACACTTTACAATAAGGTTCATTAGTTAACTACCTTAGTTAACATGATAAATACTGCAACAAATGTATTGCTCATTGTTAGTTAATGCATTAGCTAATGAACCTTAAAGTGTTACCCATAAAGACAACGATGCGCCATCTAATGAAGAACTTGTCAAGAAGCTCCACTGCCTCAGCTCAATCCCATCCCAGTAATATTATCAGGGCCTGATACTGGGATTGCATTTTCCGACATTCTGGCTCTGGATTGCGTTCACGCACACAGCTTTAAATCAATGTACAGTGGCTATCAGTTTGATTTCACAGCAGATAAAGCTTGGAGAATCGCACCCCTTGATTCTGGCGGAGCTGTTGGCTCTTGTCTGTGGCGGCACCCTGAGTGAACCAGCGCATGATGACGTCCTCCTCCAAGATCTCCAGCTGGTACATGCTCATCAGCACCTGGAGAGGACAGGCATTACACACAATCAGCCAGCAACAGACAGAACCAGTGTTGTGGTCGACTGCAGACAGAGGGGCGGCTCACTTTGACCAGAACTGCCCAATGAGTGTCGCATTCAAGGAAAACCTCCTCCATGGAAGTCAGACAGTCCATCTGGTCTTGAGCTCTCTTCACATAGTTCTTGAAGACTGGCGCCCACTTCTTTAACAACTGTGAGGAAAAAACAGAAGCATCCGATTTAAGATCATACACATCCAGAGCTTAAGGTTTTCCATGAATTGGATTGCCATGTATGAGATCAGTGCAGATCTAGATTGGATATTAACAGGGGCTTGTGGTGAAAGTGCCCCCAAACTCATTCTTACCTTATAAGAATATAACATGCCTTATGACAATAAATTCTTAATTCATGGCCAAGATTTAACGACAACGAGAACAAATTAATTCGAAGCCATGATTTAACAAAATCAAGAATGAATTCTTAATTCAAGCCACAATTTAATGAAACATTTACGATTTAACCAAAACAAATTCCTAATTCGAGGCCACGATTTAACAAACACAAGAACAAATTCTCAAATTTAACAAAAACAAGAGGGAATTCTTAAAGGATTAGTTCACTTTAAAAAAAAACTTTTGCTGATAATTTACTCACCCCCATGTCATCCAAGATGTCCATGTCTTTCTTCAGTCGAAAAGAAATTACTGTTTTTGATGAAAACATTCCAGGATTTTTCTCCATATAATGGACTTCAATGGTAGCCAAACGGTTCAAGGTCTAAATGACCGTTTCAGTGCAGCTTCAAAGGGCTTTAAACGACACCAGACGATGAATAAGGGTCTTATCTAGCGAAACGATCGGTCATTTCAAAAATAAATAAAAAAGTTAAAGTTTTATAGGCACAAATGCTCGCCTTGCAAACTCTCCTGTTCGAACTCGTTCATCAAAATGAACAAATCTTTTTTCGAGTCATTGACTCGTTCATCAAAATGAACGAATCTTTTTTCGAGTCATTGACTCGAAAAAAGATTCGTTCATTTTGATGAACGAGTTCAAACAGGAGAGTTCGCAAGGCGACCATTTGTGCCTATAAAACTTTAACTTTTTTATTTATTTTTGAAATGACCGATCGTTTTTCTAGATAAGACCCTTATTCATCGTCTGGTATCGTTTAAAGCCCTTTGAAGCTGCACTGAAACGGTCATTTAGACCTTGAACCGTTTGGTGCCCAGCAAAGTGCATTATATGGAGAAAAATCCTGGAATGTTTTCATCAAAAACATTAATTTCTTTTCGACTGAAGAAAGACATGGACATCTTGGATGACATGGGGGTGAGTAAATTATCAGCAAAAGTTTTTTAAAAAGTGAACTACTCCTTTAAATCATGGTCACAATATATATTTCTGTCTGCAGAGGCGCTGCGTAACTAAAGCATTGCACACAAAAGTATCAGGTTTATTTAATAGATTAAAAACAGCTTTGAAATGATGCAAACAGGCAATTGAATAGCTGTTCTAAAACATCATCTTCCATTAAAATGTTATAGGTCACAAGTATTTAAATTGATGGGTGATGCAGCCTGAAAAAAGTTCTCAGTCAGAAGATTTTTTTTTTTAAATTGAATCCCTGTACATATGAAACAGACATACTCACAGGGAGCAGGTGCGATGAATACTGAGCTGTGCTTATATGTGCCCCCTGCTGTTGGAAAGGAAACTCGAGCACAACTCTCATCAAGATCTGCATAACTTCCTTCAGAGTGATGTTGTAGGCATACCTGAGAAGAGACAATGACATTTAACCGATTGCAGAGCATCTCCTCTTGTGTGCCATAGAGAAATGATCAGCATTTGGATTTGCAACACTCGATCAGTAATGGATCTCTTCATTTGTGGGTGAACAAAGTGTTAATAAATAACTGGATCTTCGTAACTTTAACTTACTTGAGCGAGTTAATCTCAAGAACCAGATTGTCACAGCCTATGTTCTCATCCAAGCCTCTCTGTAACGTACCCTGAACCTCGTTCTGAAACACTGAGGGGAAAAGAAAGGCTGCTGTAAAACTGGGAGTTCTGGAAAATATGTGGATTCAACAATGTGGCATTTCACGTTTACAATTCTCACCTGTGACATCATCCAATTCAGGTGACGCAGTGTGGCTTCCCAGGTCATGTGATCCCTCGCTGACCTCACTTTCGCTGTCACTCTCTGGGTCGGGATTCAACACTAGGCCTGGAAACATGACATCACCATCAATGCCTGCATAATTCCCTTTTTTAAATGAAAGTTCACCCAAAATTTAAAATGGTCCTTATTCAGACTCTCACCCCAAATGCCATCCGCAAGCTCATCTTCCTCGGTGTCATCAAGACTGCTGGTTTTCCATCTGTATCCTTTACCCTCTGAGCCCACCTCTGCTGGGTTAAACACTGGCAAAACACACTTTGCTCATGTCAATCATGCATTGAACATTTTTAGTGGCAATAACGTTCCTTGTCAATATAGAATGACATCTTTTTTACCCCAAGAATAAAAACACACTTTATTTTCATGCGTCTTTGTAACGTTAATATTACGAGTAATATTAACAGAATGCACGTTCAGTGTTAGCTGCTTGAAATTATGCATAATTTACTGTTACTGCTATAATAAATACATGTAACATATGACAAGGACACATTCAAATAAAATCACATCAGATTTTCAAAATCTACGGCCCACAAATTACGATCATCCCAGTGGCCTCCAGCATTTAAAATCACTGTCAATGTGAACGACAGTCACAGTTATCTGCATTTCACAGTTTTTATCTGCTATGTCCACATAAGGAAATTAAAAGAGCGCGGACCTTTCTGTTTGATTTTGTCTTTATTGTAGCCAACATCATGGTCATCACTCAAGAACTCATCATCATCTTCCTCATCCTCTTCATCTGGATGGTGCATGGACAGAACTGTGCCTTCTTGAAGAGTAATATCTGGACCCACCACAACCTGCGTGACAAAAGCGGATTTTATTTTATACACACAAGATGGAGAATATTCAGCCCCTGTAAAATGAACTAGGATCAAGTCAGGTGTAGAGACCAAATACTCATTTAAAAACGTGACCACCTTTATCTTCAATAAATATATTTAAATTAAAGCTGCAAGCAGCATTTAGCGGTGTTCAAGCAGTTAAGGCCTTTAAGGCCGTTAAGCACAAAAGCATCAAAAGACATTAAGTTTTATTTAGCATACATTTAAACACTGACATAATAGATGGAAAAGACCATTTACAGCCAATACAGGCAATTTACCATAGGAAATATATGGTTTTAAAGCTTTTTAACAGTTATAGCGCCACCTAAGTTCTGAGTTTTTATTTATGATTTATAGGCTTTTAACTGTATTTTGCCACGCCCCTTTTCTAAATGACCCTGTTACAGCCACCCAATTGCAAAAGTTCAACTTTTCCCCCGATAATTATTGATCTAGAGAGTTCAGAGAATAGGCCTAGACTGGTTTGGTTCCGATCGGGCGAAAAACCAGGGACTAGTTCGCAAAAGTAGGTTTTGGACAAAATTCGACATAGCGGAAAATTTTTCTTGCCTAAATCGAAATTGGAGTAATTGGCTGCACGATGCGTTTTAGGGGATTTTTTTTTCAAATAACAATTACAATAGGTTTTCAGCACTTCGTGCTTGAACACCTAAATATATTAAGTGTATACACTGGCCGGCCAAAAAACTCGCTGTTTGGATTTAAATATGCAAATGCTTAAGAGTCTATGATTGACTGGATCATTACTGCAGTGATTATTGTGTTTCTAGCATGTTATATGCAGTGGCTCAGTGGTTCATGTTGGTTGTCTACAAACCGGAAGGTTGGTGGTTCAATCCCCGGTTCCACCTGACCAAGTGTCGAGGTGTCCGTGAGCAAGACACCTAACCCCAGCTGCTCCCGACGAGCTGGATGGTGC